GGGTTTTTATAATTTTCACTTTTTGTCCCCAATTTCATTTTTTGCTTTACCCAAACTACATTCTAAGCCACTTTTCTGTATTCCAATATACCGCATTTTCTGTGTTCATAAATCATAAACGCTAACATTTATCAGTTATGCCTATCTCTGTTTGGTGAATTCTCTTCAACATTTTGGATTTCTAATGCCCCCTCAATTTTTTTAAACTTAACTCAAATATTCATGCCATACATTTTGGAATTGAACGGTCTTAATATATTCTTCCTTCCTGTCATGAAATCTCTTACTGATTAGTTTTCTCATCATCATACTTTTAGAAAATCTTAATCTTACATTTCCCCTTTGCTTACTTGATCATTCATCCTTAGCTCAAACTTTCCTCTTAATGGCATTTTTTTCAGTTTATACTGACTAATACTGCTTAAGAAGTTTATAATTAATATAATTTCTCTCAGAATGCCGTATAAATTTTCATTACACATACACAGTCTGCTCTCTCTTAATATGCAGTGTACTTTTCCAGCTGTCGTCAGCCCTTAATCGGGAGCAAGGGGCCCTAGTAACGCTTCTGTATAAATTGCTAATTTTTTTAGAAAAACTTGTTTTTCTTTTAAGTCACCTCTTGGGTTTGGATACGGCATTGTTGAGAGAAAAAAAAATTTCTTATTTTTAAGGAAAAACAAAATTGTGAATATATTTTTAATGCCACCTACTCACTACCCTTTTACTTTATTTAGGATTTTAAGCAAATTTAGTGTACTACAATACCATAATTTTCTTTTTTAAAAGATGTGTCAGTAGAAACATTTTTTTTTCCTTTTATTATTTTTAATAAGGCTATGTATATACAATATTGTCTGTGTATTCTCACTTGTACATGTTATGTCTTTATTGAAGTTTGTATTCTGTCTTTTCAAAGTTTAGTACTTGTACCTTGCTGATTAAATCATATCTATTAGCAGCTGTATTTTGGTTCCAATTGTTAAGTTTAAAAGTACATTTCAGTACAGCGTTCCTCACTTAACAATGGAGTTCCGTTCTAAGCCAGTATTTTAAACAAATTATCGCTAAGTGAGGCCATACTATAATGGTAGTGGTTTGTGTCAACCATCTTTGATAGTTTTTAAATTTTCTTTTTTGCACCTTTTACTGTAATAGTGAAAATAAACAGATGAGGAAATCGCTTAATATACATTTTTTTAGGTAGAATATGGTCAGAGAGCTGTCAAAACGCCCGAGGCGTCAGTAAACGAGTATGTCGCAAAGTGAGAGAGGCTGTACTGTAGCTTTGAACCACTCCAGTAATTTTTCCTTTTTTAACTAATCTTTTTTGTGCTTAGAAAATATATACATTTAGTTAACTTTTTTGATTATACTGTATTTATTATTATAAAGCCATTTATTTTTATCAACAATTATCCTAAGTGGTTACTATTTTTTATAAAAACCTGTAGATCATACACTAATGGCTTTTAAAAAGCTGGGCCATCTCCACTGGGGGCTTTTGTGTAGTAATCCACAAAAGAACACAAACCCACATGAGTTTTTCAAAGTTGACATTTCATAAGGGCTAAACAAATCTTTTTGTTGCACATTAAACAAACTCAATTTTATTTATTTGCGAGGTTGCCCATATGGTTTAGCACTTCTTTTTGATTATAATAATATCCAGTCACACAAATTATAAATATTATTTTATAAAATATTTTTATACCTTAACAAAGATTTTTATAATAGTTTTTGAGCAAAGAAACTGCCTCAATTTTTTGATTGCCCTGAGGTAGTTCATTTACTCAAATTGAAGGCTTGAGGCATCTGCACATGCATCCCCAAATTAAGCAAAGTATAGTGAAACCTCGATTTAACAACCCAGAAGGGGTAGTGGTCCGTAAGCAAATTTGTAGTTAAATTTAAAATTTTGGTTAATCCAATAGACAAAAACAGTAATGGACAGTTCAGAAATAATTATTTTTGTTAATTCTGGCAAATTTTTACCACCGATTGTACATCAAACAATTCTGGATTGGCCTGTTCATGTTTCTAGACATTGTTTTCCATTAATTAAATCGGAAATGCATTGTCGAGGTTTTACTACATACTCGGGGTGTAAAATAACCAGAAAACCATGTAGGGGAAGCAAAAAAGGTAGCATGGAAAATAGCATTATAAAAGGATAATATGAAGTTAAAGAAATGTAAACAGACCACGAAGTGGCATGCTGGGTGAATGTGACAAAGGGAAAATGACCATCAAGCAAGAGGATCCACCACTTCTTCCGGTAATGCTTGCAAGGCTGACCATGGCCAACCCTTTACTACGTGCTGACCAGTTTAATATTTAGGCCATTTGGCAGCCTATTACAAATTAGATGAATTTTGGAAAGAGGTGGTATAAAATCCCAAGATGGGAAAAACATGGACTTTATCAAGTCACAAAACGATCTGCTAGTGAGGGAGATGACCCTTTATATAGGGATTGTAGTGAAGTGAGGAGTCGGGTTTAGGCATTTTGTAGTTTTAACCTTGGTAGTTTTAAACTTAGGTTGAGCAAATATATGACTGGAAAGTGAGTTTGGGAGGCATGAGCCAGAAAACCCCACTCAGTGCTCCCCATATTAATGACTATTGCATTTTGGTATACCAGTATAAAGTTTCTGGCAAGGATCGGCTGGGTTGTAAAAGCATTAGGGTTGATATTTTTTGTTAGGTTGATTCTGACATCCTGTTAGCATTTCTTTTTGATTATAATAATAATCTGACATCCTGTATCTTTGGTGTTTCTTGTCAAAGATTTGTGCATTCTTGAAATTAAGTGGTTGTGGGAGTGTGTGTGAAACAACGTGTTTAGTCTCCATTTCGCTGGGTATTGGCGATCAGAAGTGTGTGTGTGTGTGTGTGTGGTCGTTTGACGTTTTGCCACATATATTTTTTTAAATTTTTTGCAAGGGATTGTGTATATCCTGCATTGGTTTAAATTTTAGTGGTAATCTCAATGATGTCCTTGATTGTATTACAGAAAAGGGTTTGGCTACTTGAAATCGGGTTTGGAGACTGTAGATGCTGTCCAATAAATCTTAAATTGCCTAGTAGGGCACCACTGAAAGAGATGTCCTCCTAACACATTATTGTCAAAAATTCCAATATTCTTTTTTTTCAACAAACTGCTTATCCCCCCTGAAGCAGGGGGCCCCAAAAAGAAAAACAAAACTTTTCCTTTTTAACTTTAGTGATGTTACAGGAGAAGGGGGGTTACTACCCCCTGTTCCCGGCATTTTAGTCCCCTCTTATGTTTGTTCATGGCTTCCCGGAGGAAAAAATCTTTTCCCCACTTCCCCATGGAGATTACCAATATTCTCTCACTAAACCCCCAAGTATCCAAGTCATGCTTCATTACATTCAAGGATTTTCCCATAAGATACAATTTTAAAACCCAATCAAGGGTATACACAATCTATAAATTGACAGATATGTGTGGTCAGAACTCCAGAACACACATTCTAAACACCAATGTGCAAGCGAAAAGACCTTTAAAAAATGCCTGTTTTTGACACAAACTTTCAACAACCACCTTTTAAATTACAAAGGATAAAAATCGTTGCCAAGCTGTATACCCCTTTGGGTGGCTTAGCGCTCTTTTTAAATTAAATATAATAAAAAATCATTGCTAAAAAGAAGACACCATGATATGCAGGAATTTTTATGCCCACTCATTAGCATAGCCAACAATTTCAGTTTTCTACAACATAACTGGGGCTTTTGAAGGAAATTTTGTCAGTATCCATAAAAAAGGGAGGAGCACTACGAAAGGCTGCTGGCCCCATGTAGACAGGTTCTATAAGTCCGTCTTCTATTTACAACTAAGTTCAACCCACCAAAGCCACTTTCACCTCGCTAAGCTCCCTATGTATAGGTCAACCTCCCTCTCAAGGCAGATCATTTGAACTTGATAAAGCCCACTGCATGGGCAAACGTCATAAAGGATACATACTGCATTAGTCTTTCTCCGGGTTCTGTTCTAGCATTACAATTTTCCCTTTGCGTACAAAAAATTTCCCTATAATTAAAGGCTTTGGCCATATACAATATTTTTTAAAGGTTGTAATCTTACTAAAATTAAACTGCGTAATATGTTACACAAGTTCCCGGTATCATGTTTGTTACAAACAACTCTTTAATTGTATGCAATCAGGGAGAAACAGTCCAATACTGTGGCTAGACAATTCACGCCAGCCCGTAAACTGTAATGAAATTAAATGCCATTTCCATCCACGGGTTTTCACTAGAGTCAACTAAATAATGGTACAGGATGGACTGAAATGTTTTTTAAAGTTTCCATCTCAAATTTATGGGTTTTAAGTGCAGTCAGTATTTTATGGTCCAACTTTTTAAAATTTTTTTAAACAGCAACATACAAAGCTACAAAATACCCAACACAAAAATTTAAATTTAAAATTTCCTCCTTTCTCCCACAAAAAAATAAAGCGTTCACATATTCTGAAAGTTTTCAAGGTAATGCTAATTCTCTTAAATAATTTGTTCACCACTCACTTTTTTGGCCTGTAAGGTGTGCATGCCATTTTCAGTTACTTTTATATATCTTCCATGATTTTATAAATAGTAACATCACCTTTTATGCTGGTTTGTTTGTATTCTTATGCAGGTCCCCAAGTTTTCCCAATTTGATCTTCCTTTAGACAAATGTTTCCAGCTCCCCAATTTTGCAACTTCCAGTTAAGACCTGCAATTTCCTGTTAAAAATTACAAAAATTTAATTAAACAGTGTCATTTTTCATAATATGTAGAAAAAAAATAAAATTCTTCCCTAAATCCAAATATACAGTAATTTTTTACCAACCCTGATTTTGAGCACTATCACCATTTTCAACAACTCTGATTCGGGATCACAAAATTGATCCATGGATTTCAAAGAAAATGTGCTAATCAATGAACTTTTGGTCAGGACATTTACGGGTTAATATCACCTTTTTGCAGATCCCCTATCTCTAAAGCTTGGAAGCTCGTCAGAATCATCTCTTCAGTGCCCGTGGCGCAAAGTTTGTCCGACCAGAAGGATGATGAACGCTTTATGGAAGAAAAACAATTTCAACAAAGTCAAGCCTTTCCTTTCAATTGTCTGTTTTTATTTTCTGTCTGGATTTATACAGACAGTATTATGTACCAAAAATTCTTAAAGCTATTTCTCTAGCAATGTTGAAACTAAAACGTATAACAAAACTAGTGTACTTTTAAAATTTATGTTTCAAACTTGCTTTCCCATTTTTCATTTGCCATTTCCCCCCTAAAGCAATAACATTAATTATATTACGTTTACTTCTATTTCATATGTGTATTACTGTCATTTATAAATATATTAGTGCTGTTATTATTAAGATATACTGAAATCTGCACATAGTTGCTGCCACAACTTTGAAATTGTTATCAATTAAAAACTGAACTTCAAAAGGCCGGCCCATTGTTAATTTTTTAGTTACTTCATCAGACCGATCTTCGATGGACTCGTGGCGGGTTTGTAGTGTCCCCCTGGATGGGTCGAGAAACGCTTTAGGGGGAAAAGGGTACAATTGCCATTAGCGATGCCTCTTCCATGGCAATGGATCAAATTTTAGGGCATTAGAGGATGAGGTTGCCATGTGAAATTACTAAGGCTAAAGGTAATTACACAATTAGAGAAGGGGTTGCAAGTAAGGATTAAAACAAGGGTTTATAATCAAAATAAATTGCATAGCCATGACGAACGGTTTTTTTTTTTTTTTTTTAAGTACAAACAAAAACAAAACTGGGTGAAATATTGAACTAATGTAAATTAATAAGGGGGAAATATCCAAAGATTAAAGAAACAGGGCAAATTTTGAAAGCAGAGATTCATGCCATCATAAAAAAATGCTAATAAAACAATAGCCACATTCAACCCCAAAGCTTTTTCCCAACACCCTCCTGATATAACAAAATGTTTAGCACAAACAGCCAATTTGGCTTTTTGTCCCAAAAGATTTTGCTATGGAAGACATCAGCACACATACTATTATACTTAACAAATTTTGTTTTAAATACTGTAAAAATAAACAAATGTTTTCACAGGAGCTTACCTCATTGCTTTCATCACTCTCCACACTGTCTCTGACCAAAAACTGACTTTGGAACACTGGCCTGGCATGAGCAGTTGGATGCACACTGGGATACAAAACTTCAACAGAATCATCTGCTTTAAAGAAATCATCTTTCTCAGCACATCGGAGATTAGTCACAACTTTTCTCTTGAGCCAAGGCTGTGTCAAAACATGTGCCTCACACACCTGTAAGTTCAAGAATAAAAATAGAAAATTATGAAACACTCAAGCACAAAGTAATCCAGGCAGAGTAAATAAAAGTTTCAAAGCAAATAAATCAGACAAGATTTTTCATTAGACACCTAGCATATTCAAGAAGTAGAAAATACGTTTCTCTTTAAAATTTATAGACCTTTCATTAAAATTCCCTTCAAGGCGAGAGGCTCTTGATGCAAGGGAAATTTAACCTATCCTACTCTTCCTTGTATCCCCTCAAGGGAGGTTCCTTGATGCTGGTAAGGGGCTCGATCGAGGGAATTGGAGCCATGATTCCAATTTTCTGTATCAAGCCTGAATGCTTCCATACCCCTCTCCCACACGTGCGTTGTAATCACTATGGGTTTAGTGCTCCCCCCTGATAATTTAAACTTCCTTGTATCAAACCTAATTGCTCGAATTACCCCAGGCACTATAACCTGTATGGTCTTAGTTCTTTCAAAATGAATTTTTATAAAATATTTTAACCAAAATTACAAAAGAGCAGATAAAATGTCTTCCAGAACTTAGTAAATAACACAGTATTAGTGAAAGGTAACATGATCATATAAAACTACAATGACTTAAAGGTGGGGGGCAAAGCCTAATTAACCAACAAAGTTCAGCCTTTCAGTACTGTACAGTATTTAATCTTTTCCTTCTTTCAACAAACTGGCCGTATCCCCAGAGGCAGGGTGGGCCAAAAAGAAAAATGAAAGTTCTCTTGTAAACTTTAGTAATGTATACATGAGAAGGGGTTACTAGCCCCCTTTCCCCGGCATTTTAGTCGCCTCTTACAACACCATGGCTTACGGAGGAAGATTCCGTTCCACTTTCCGATGGAGATAAAAGGAATAAACAAGAACTAGTAAGAAAATAGAAGAAAACCCAGAGGGGTGTGTATCTACATGTTTGTAAATGCATGTGTAGTGTGACCTCAGTGTAATTAGAAGTAGCAAGGGCATACCTGAAATCTCGCATGTTTACGAGTCAAAAGACACTAGCAGTCCTACCATCATGTAAAACAATTACAGGTTTCTGTTTTGCACTCACTTGGCATGATAGTACCACCCTGGGTGGTTGCTGTCTACCAACGTACTAATAAAAAAAAGAGGCACAATGCCATGACTGGAATGATACACAAATAACCTGCACGTAGAAGAGAGGAGCTTGCGACGGGCGTTTCGGTCCAACTTGGACCGTTTAAAAAGGTCCAAGTCGAACCGAAACGTCGTCGTAAGCTCCTCTCTTCTATGTGCAAGTTATTTGTTTTACCAACCTACTACCTAGACAGTATTATATAGTAAACTTCTTTCAACAAACCGGGCCCTATCCCACCAAAGCAAACGAGGCCCATAAAGAAAAACAAAAAGCTTCTCTTTTTAACTAGTAATGTATGCAGGAGAAGGGGGTTTCTAGCCCTTGCTCCTGGCATTTAAACCAACTCTTACGACACACGTGGCTTACGGAGGAAGAATTTGTTTCGCTTCCCCATGGAGAAGTATTAATTTTTTTTTTTTTTTTTTTTAACAAGTTGGCCACCTCCCACCGAGCAGGGTGACCCAAAAAGAAAGAAAATCCCCAAAAAGAAAATCTTTCATCATTCAACACTTTCACCTCACTCACACAGAATCACTGTTTCTGCAGAGGTGCTCAGAATACAACAATTTAGAAGCTAGCAACAGTATTATATACTTTTCTTTCAACAAACCGGCTGTATCCCACCAAGGCAGGGTGGCCCAAAAAGAAAAACGAAAGTTTTCTTTTTTAAATTTAGTAATTTATACAAGAGAAGGGGTTACTAGCCCCTTGCTCCCGGCATTTTAGTCGCCTCTTACAACACGCATGGCTTAGGAGGAAGAATTCTGTTCCACTTCCCCATGGAGATAAGAGGAAATAAACAAGAACAAGAACTAGAAAGAAAATAGAAGAAAACTCAGAGGGGTAAAGTATATATATGGGTTGACATGTATGTGTAGTGTGACCTAAGTGTAAGTAGAAGTACAAGATGTACCTGAAATCTTGCATGTTTATGAGACAAAAAAAAAGACACCAGCAATCCTACCATCAGTAAAACAATTACAGGCTTCTGTTTTACACTCACTTGGCAGGACGGTAGTACCTCCCTGGGCGATTGCTGTCTACCAACCTACTACCAAGGAGTATTATATCTTCTTCTTCTTTCAACACACCGGCCGTATCCCACCGAGGCGGGGTGGCCCAAAAGGAAAAACGAAAGTTTCTCCTTTTACATTTAGTAAAAATTACAGGAGAAGAGGTTACTAGCCCCTTGCTCCCGGCATTTTAGTTGCCTCTTACAACACGCATGGCTTACGGAGGAAGAATTCTGTTCCACTTCCCCATGGAGATAAGAGGAAATAAACAAGAATAAGAACTAGAAAGAAAATAGAAGAAAACCCAGAGGGGTGTGTATATATGTGCTTGTACATGTATGTGTAGTGTGACCTAAGTGTAAGTAGAAGTAGCAAGATGTACCTGAAATCTTGCATGTTCATGAGACAGAAAAAAGGACACCAGCAATCCTACCATCATGTAAAACAATTACAGGCTTTCGTTTTACACTCACTTGGCAGGACGGTAGTACCTCCCTGGGCGATTGCTGTCTACCAACCTACTACCAAGGAGTATTATATACATACATATAAAAAACCTGAATCAGTTTACCTAAATATTAAATAACCCAGCTTAATCTGGTCCTAAATAGGAAGGATTACTATTATGAAATCATCCTATGGGTGATCAAAGTAATAATTATTTCTACGAGTTATATATAATCTGCTTTACCTTGTGTTCTTCACCAATGTCTGGCAGACAGCGAGTCTTGTCGATGCGTCGCTTGTACTTGGGACACACTGTATGCACCGCTCAACAACTAAGTGATAATTAAGTCCTGAAACAACCCTTTAAAGAAAGGGTAATAATTTAGGGTATTAGAGAAAAAATTATAATTAAATTTCATTTCACTTGATATATCCAATTACTAAGCTATGTATGTCTCTCTATCCAGCAGAGTGATTACCATGTCACACTGTCTTCAAAGAATTCCACCCTTAACACAGTATATACAAGGTATTTTACACCTTTTATTCATCTAACTCATATAGAGTTTGTTTCAAATTTTTCTATATCTTACTAATTCTACATCATTAATTTACCAGTAAAGAAATTTGTAGCACAAGCCATTACAATATAATACTGCTTAAAAACAAAAGAACTGACAGAGGGACAATATAACTACCCCATCAAGAGAGATATCTTGATGCTGGTGAAGGTGAATTAATTTTGATGGAACTGGACCTACCCTCCTTTCTTTGGTTCAAACCTGATTACTTTATTATTATAATCAAAAGTAAGCGCCAAGCCCTCCAGGGTCATACAGCGCTACTACTATAATACAACATGACTTTACATAAACCCGCTTACGAGCCTGTAAGAGTTTATGGAAGATGAACAAGTTATTTCGTCAGATCTTGAGTCAAACTCATCAGCAATCAGGTGACCAACTTGACAAGACTTTTATCATTGACATCAGCAGCAGTCATTGTCCATTATGTGGGCCTGTGAAGAGAACAATATCTTCATCAAAATGTGGACAAGAAAAAAAATATAATGGGGTTTAGGTCTCTTTTTTAAATATTTTTTATTAGCACAAGAAACTTTTAAATTGCCTAATGGCCTCTGTTATGTTATTTTCATCAACTTTCCATAGTAAAAGTTTACATATTTCATATAAATACAAGATGGCCCGTGTACTAATTGGCACCACCTGCACAAGAAATTTTTTATAATTTACCAGATCCACTGCTTGTGTGAGAAGGCACTTGTTGGACCCCAAAATTGCCTGATAAAGAACAAATTTAAAATTAAAAAAAAAAAAAAAAAAAAACAAAATATTTTGCAATACAAACATACATTATTTTCTTATACACAAACTTCTGTTATAAAAAAAGACATCACAATGTGTTTACTATTACATCACAGGTATACCAGTCAATTACCAATGTGTTTATGAACACTTAAAAACGTTCAACTCCTTAGTTCATGTACTAGTGAATGCACTGCCCATATAATTAACAAAATAAAAAAAAATGCAAATTTCACTATATAGCTAGATTAATTTGTCTAAAAAAACATTTATTTTTCTTTATTTCCCAACCTTCATTAGTTTTTAATAATTTACAGTATCATTATGCTTATTCTGCAACTAGGAGCAGGGCTGTAGGAACAATGACTCCTGAAATCAAATCCAGATTGACATCCTTAAAATAGCTGGAGTAAACCCATGCATAAAAATGGAGATCCCTCTGACAAATACTATACATGTATATCAATTTCAAACCCACCAATAGTATCAAAAGTATTTGAAAAAATACTACAGTATACATATAATTTAATATATATATTCAGACCCCCAAAAGTAAAAACTATGAAATATGAAAATGAGCACCTCTGCAAAGACAGTGATTATGTATGAGTGATGCTGAAAGTGTTGAATGATGTGAAAGTATTTTTTTTTCTTTTGGGTCACCCTGCCTCGGTGGGAAACAGCCAATGTGTTATAAAAAAGATATACAATCTATACAATGCTTGATAAGAATGAATTCCCTTATGGTTTCATTTAGTGACCCACAGGTCTTTGACACTGTTGACCACAACTTCTGTAAAACTGTAACAGGATCTGACAAGTAAACCTACATAAAAACTACCACATCTTCTCTAAATGGAGTTCAAACATATGAACATACTATTTAATAAAGTTACATTGCATTTGTGTTACAAAAAAGACAAGGGAAAAGGGATTCAACCCCTTCCCCACCCACACATGGATTTTTTTTTTTTAAAAATGCTGGCTTGTTCACTAAGGTAGGGTGACCCCCAAAAGGAACATATTCACTACTGGTCATTCAACAGCTTTTGTTGCTTACTGGCCCTCTGAACTGCAGTATCTCCACCCCTCCTCAAGAGTGCAGGTCTTGTACTTATCTTCAGGACTCAAGTTAACTGTTTTTCCCTGAATTCCTTCATAAAAGTTAACTGTGCTCACACTCCAACAGCACACTAAGTCATAAAAGCTGGATGCTCATAACTATGCTCTCCTCCGATCCACCTCGGATGGCACTACCCCTCCTTCCCTCCACCTCGAATTTACACCCCCTTCATCCTCTATAAATGCCCAAATCACGTGAACAGCCCCTTCTCAGTTTTCTGAATTATACCTTTGGTAATCCCACTACATCTTCTAATTTCTATGATCCAAAATTTTATGCATAATATTCACACCACTCATTGCTCTCCAACATATCTTCACAGCCACCAGCATCCTCCTTTACTGCAAAATTTAAACCCCGTGCCTTGCATGCATTAAAAGTTTGGTATCACTAACTCTGGTTTTATTCCCTTATTCCTCCACCACAATGAATGTGAAATAAATACCTCTAATCTTTCTTGTGTAGTATTCACTCATATCATCACAGTAGAGTTTGTTAACCTGTCTGTTGCCACCAGTCCATGAGGCACAAAGATTTCTGCCTTGGCATACTTCTCTCTCTTCACCATGATCAAGAGGGCAGCGATTAAGATCAGCATTGGAAGGGACTTCTTACAGCGAGTCTCAGCCAGTCAATTTCCAAATGATAAATTTATACACCCGATGCAGCCTTGGAGACAAAAACAGCTTTAAATTTAATAAATGTAAGATGCAGTACCCTTAAGGACAACTGTAAAAACTCTTGCATCCTTTCACAACAATGCATCACCTGGCCCAATTATTTTTATAATTATCTTAAAAAACAAAAAATTTCCTATTAAAAAATTTTAACATATCTTTTGTCCGTATTCATTTTTTTTTTTTTTTAACTCAATGAATGTCCCCCCAGCATTCACTCAATGCTGTCTTCCCCAGAAGTGTGCTGACATCACAATCAGATTACCTTCTGACTGTAATTCCCTATCCCCTTCAGAGTGCTGGCACTTCCTTCCCACCTCCAGGATTTAATCCTTTCATAAAAGTTACTCTGCTATACATTTTTCTGGAAAAATGTTTTTGCTTTGGCCAGACTCTAGCCTGACCAGGTTAGGTCTCTACTAGCTGGTTAGGTCTATGGCTAACTGATTAAATATACACCTGGCTGGATTTAGGTATCTATATGACTGGGTCTACTTTTAAAATAAAAATTTGGTGTACCACATTTTGAAATACACACGTGCACGTGCGCGCGCGCACGTACACATACGCGCACGCACGCGCACGCACGCGCACACACACACACACAACACACACACACCACCACACCGCGCACGCACACGCACACAAAGTACATTATTATTCAAGGTAGTATTCAAGTTTTCTGGTAACAAATAGTATCAACACTCAAATAATTAAAATGGTAAACACCTGTGATTGCCACATTTACTTAAAGTTTACCAGTATTATATTGAAAGCACATGAAGATCAATAAATAAAAAAATTAATAAAACCTTATATTGCAAATACATAGTCTCTTGCCTTATATACTTTAGATTACTCAAAAATTTTTTGATAGGAGTGACCCACCTGCTGGTAAGCACTGATGATCTGTGTTAAGGTATACAATTTTGTCTTCATCACCTCGGAGGTTATACTGTTCTGTTACAAAAGCAGCAGTTTTCTGCACATTGGAATCATTTTTGGCAACTACTTGAAAACCAGCATGGGTGTCTTGTGTAACATTCAGGAAGGGTGATTCGTAAATCGAAAAAATTGTGGGTGGGCAAGAGTTGCTGAAAAATAATAAAAGAATTACACAATAAATAATATAATTTGGAGTATGTACAAGACAGAAAATATTTAAAATATAGATGAACAAAACGATAGAGAATTCCAGAATAAAAAAGGTGTAATATAAATGTTAACGAATAAAACTGAGATAATGCAAGAGAACAAGTAAAGGGATAATGCAAAAGAAAAAAGTTTGGCAGAGACTCTTAAACATTTTATATCATAGTAAATGTACTGCTCGCATCTAAATGAATACATTAAAGTATTACAGACGATGAAGCAAATTTGCGACATTTGGGCTTTTCAAGACATTCTGAAGCTAGAAGTTCAAAACATGGCTATACAATTTTTTAGTGTTCAGAGAGGAACCTAAAATAAATTGTGATGATTAGAGCAACAAATTACTGAAAAACTGAGGAGAAAAAATAAGCCTTTATCAATGAAAAAAAAAAAAAAATCATCAGACATGTTGGATTAAAATTACTGGGAAAAACAAAAGACGGGTACGTTTTGTACAAGTCACCAAAACCCACAGTCAGGAAAGAACAAAACAAGGAAACTGCAGTCCACCATGGACCACTGACAAGTCAACTAAGGACGAATGGCCACAAAGACCTGAAACCCTCGTACGATTCACCTCCTAATTGCAAATTTTTGGTCAATTGTTCCAGCCAGGTACTGTGACTTTATTCTTTAATAACAGTTTAAAATGCCACATAAAAAAAAAAAAAAGAATTATGAATCATACCCGCTCTAAGTAATCATCCAGGTCATCACAAGTAAGAGACAAGATCCTGCGGAAATTTTGAAGTCTGAAGCCTGCTTGTTCGTGAACCACTGCCTTGCACACCAATGAAAAATAATAGTTTTAATTTTGAGAAAGTATTTGTCTATTGTTAGGTAAAAGGACACAGATGCAACTTATGTGACACTTTTTGTGGCAAAACACTGCCACAATAAAATGTCTCACTAGTTGCATGTGTGTCCATTTACCTAATATTTTGTCGGTAATTCTACCATTGTCTATTGCTCATAACTTTCTATTAATTTCAAATGCTGCAGTTATGCAAAATTAAGAAAAAATGAACAGAAGCAGATCTATTTTTACTATATACTATAAAACTGTGACCAATGTTACACTCCTCTTCTAAGTGTTATATTCAATTGTCCAATTGTGTAAAGCTGGTGATACTGTGGACTTACGTAAGGCTCATGACTGTGCTTGTATTAAGTTGGTGATTCTGTGTACAGTACGTGTGTAGGGACTGACTATTCTGTGTGCCTGTGCAAAACAGGTGATTCTGTGCACAAGTGTAAAGCTGGCTATTCTGTACACTTGCATCAAAAATTATAAATCATCTATTATCTATATTGACCTCTGGCAATGTCTTACCTCGTGCTCCTCTGTGGGGTCTAGCAAGCAATGCTCTCCATTGCCAAGGGCTGGGTCAAGCTTGTGACAGTTGGTTTCTCCCAATCAACTACAAGAGTGTACTTCCTCCCTGACACGACCTGCATCAACAGTTTCAGATTAAAAACTAACATTTTTGAACATAAAAGAAGCATTTAGTTAACCCTTAAACTGTCCAAACGTAGATCTACACTTACGTGCATAGCGTTCTGACTTTTATTTTCTCCATTTGAAAGCATTTAAAAAAAAAAAAGGTAAATCTACGTTCGGAGCTCTATGCACGTGAACATAGATCTACGTTTGGACAGTTTAACCCTTTCAGGGTCCGTCCCGTAGATCTACGGCTTTACGTTCAGGGTCCAAACCGTAGATCT